CCCTGCACGCCCCTTTCGCGCGCAGGCGCGTGCCGCCCGAGGGAGCGTGGCTGCCTCCCCGCGCCCAGACGAACGGCCCAGCACGTGCCCTCGCCCCCACGGCGGACACAGCGCTGCTGATGCCCCCGGCTGACCGGTGCCCTGCGAGCCCGGCCGGACGCGCGCCGCCTCTGGCCGCCCCATGCCCCGCAGGTGTCGTCTGGTCGGCCCGGGGTCGCCCCCGTCTCCCCGGCGGCGGGGATGCGTGTCCTGGGTCCGCGCGGGTGACGCTTGTTGGCTGAGTTGTGCCTGATGGAACCCAGTCGCCTCTGACGGTCACACCTACGGGCGTGTGGTCGAGTTCAATCCCTGATGGAGGGAAATGATGACGCCGGTGTCCCCGGGGTCTGGCCGGTTCTTGGGTGGAATTACTTGTCCATCTGGCAGTTGTCGATTCTGAGCACACACCCCATTGAAGGGGATGCTCCGTGTCATCGGGGGGCGGGGGGACCTTCTGATTGTGTGATGGGGGCGGATGGAGAGAGGTCTACGGAGGCGTGAGCGACTGTCCCGGCGCGGCAGTCAGGACCGATCGGAGTTTCCTAAACAACCAGGAGCCCCTGTTCGTTCAGAACACGGTGGAGGAGAGTTAGCGCCTGTGCCTGATGGGGGTCATGGAGCCTGTGGATCGCTAGCCAGCGGTTCTCAACCTTCCTAATGCCGCGACCCTTTAATACAGTTCCTCATGTTGTGGTGACCCCCAATTTCATTGTTACAAATTGAACATAATTAAAGCATAGTGATCAATCACAAAAATAATATGTAATTATATATGTGTTTTCCGATGGTCTTAGGCGACCCCTGTGAAAGGGTCGTTCGACCCCCAAAGGGGTCGCGACCCGCAGGTTGAGAACCGCTGCTCTAAGCCAAGGCACGGAGAGTTCTCACTGGGACGCGTGGAGCGCAGGGTGTGATGTTTCTCCAGGTCTGGCCCGTGGGCCATTTGGTGGGTTTATTTGAGCCTTTCTCCGTGTCCATTTTTTTAAAATTCCCCTGGGTTCGTGTGTTTGTGGGCGGATGACACGCCTGTCTGTGTCCTGTTTCACAATGGTGGGGCACAGTCCTCTGCAGTTAGATTTACGGTCAGCTAACCCCGCAGGGGCTCTATGCAGCGCGGTTGGCCTTTTGCCCTCGGAGGACTTTACCCTCCCCAGTGTCACCCTGTCAGCTTGTCTGGCAAGGACTGTCTGAATTTTCGTCCTGCCACCTGCCTGATTCGCTGTCCCATCGAATTGTCGCCCGCAAAGTTGGCAAGCCTGTCCCCAGCTGTTGTGCCTGTCCAGGTCAATAGTGGAAATATAGAAAGGCTGAACGATCCACGGAGTAGCGCTATATTTTGAGTGCGTTCGTTCCAATCTAGTCTTAGTGGGGTTGTTGTTTTTTGTTATTATTATTATTATTGATATTTAGGGAGAAAAAGTGGGGAGGGAGCGAGAGAAAGAGAAACATCAATGTGAGACACATTGGTTGGCTGCCTCCCACTTGTGCCCCGGCTGGGGACGGACCTGAGACCTGGGCATCGAACCCACCACCACCTTGTGGCGTTCGGGACGATGTTCCAACCCACGGAGCCACACTGGCCAGGGTGCCGCTCAGTTATTCTTGACTCTAGTTCAGCCGTGGGCAAACTACGGCCCGTTTGAAATGAATAAAACTAAAAAAAAAAAGACCGTACCCTTTTATGTAATGATGTTTACTTTGAATTTATATTAGTTCACACAAACACTCCATCCATGCTTTTGTTCCGGCCCTCCGGTCCAGTTTAAGAACCCATTGTGGCCCTCGAGTAAAAAGTTTGCCCACCCCTGCTCTAGTTTGAATTTCTGTGAAAGTAGCAAGAGAAATTGTAGGGCCTTCCTGTAATCAAGTGACCCTCTCTGGGAAGGGCTGTTGACATAGAAGTTGTTTTTCATGTGCTTGCTAGGTCTTAGGAATGACTTCTTACTCTCAAACACTTTCTTTAGCCCTAGCCGGTTTGGCTCAGTGGATAGAGCGTCGGCCTATGGACTGAAGAGTCCCAGGTTCGATTCCAGCCAGGGGCACATGCCCGGGTTGCAGTCTCGATCCCCCCCCCACCCAACCCCCCATAGGGGACGGGCAGGAGGCAGCCGATCGATGATTTCTCTCATCATTGATGTTTCTATCTCTCTAGCTCTCTCCCTTCCTCTCTGAAATCAATAATAAAAAACCCCATTTTCTTTAATAACCTGTTCTAAAATGTTGTCCACATAGATCAGATCCGCCCATCTTTAGTTTGTAGAATTCATGACTTGCGTGTTTTTTAAAACTAAAATATGTATCCGAGTGCAGTCTCTCCTTGCTTCTCAAGTGTTCACCAGTAATCATAACAGCAGCGAGTCTTCTCTAAGCCACGCGGTCCTAAGACATATTTCCAGGCAGGGATTACTCTTACTACCCTTTATCCCATCTTGGGTAGGTCTTTGCCAACCTTTTTCTGTCCTTAAATGTTCTACTGTTCTTCTTACTGTCCTTCAGGGTTTTTACAAGTTGTGTATCATTCTGTGGGGAGGGTCACAAGTATAAAATGTGTAAGTAATGCTTTTTCACGCTCTTTCTGTCCAAGATGTGTAAGTAATGCTTTTTCATGCTCTTTCTGTCCAAGCTGCTTTTCGGCAGAGTGATGAAGGCACGTGCTCTGTGGTTGCTTTAAACCTAATCTTATCCCCCACCCCCGTTTGGAAAGGGAAAATAGTGAGATTTTCTTCACAGGACTGATGTGAGAATTAAGTGAGGTAACACACTGTCAAATGCTTCGCAGTGCCTGGCACATAGTTTTGAAGTATTAGTATCAGTATTGTGTTGTGTTGGTATGTCCATCTACACTAATAAAGGAGAAAGATGCAAATTGACCGTCACTTTGCGACGCCCACCAGCCAATCAGGAGTGAGTATGTGAATTAACCAACAAAGATGGTGGGTTAATTTGCATACGTAGGCACCGAGCGGCCGGGGGTGGGGCAGGAACATCCCCAGGACCCAGGCACTCTGAGCCAGCACACAAGCAAGCGGCCAGGGGCAGGGCGGGAACGTCCCCCGCACGAGTGAGCAGACAGCAGGGCCCTGCTTGCCCCTGGCCATGGCAACGAGGGGCAAGCAGTCCCCCGCAAGGCCCCCACAGAGAGCAGACACCAGGGCCTGCGGTGGCATCAAGCAGGCAGGTCCGCAGAGAGCAGAGAACCACGGGGAGCAGGCCTAAGCCGTCAGTAGGACATCCCCTGAGGGCTCCCAGATTGGAGAGGGTGCAGGTCGGGCTGAGGGACCCACCCCCCACCCCCATGCACGAATTTCGTGCACCGGGCCCCTAGTGTATATTATAAACATCTAAGGCCAAATATGTTAGTCAACTTTTATGTAGTGGAGTGGGCTTGAATCAGACACTCTATTTCTAACCCATTTGTACCACTAAACAAAATGCACTTGATTCATTTCTTTCAGATGGAACTGGAAGCATTACGTTCTATATATGAAGGAGATGAAAGTTTCCGGGAATTAAGTCCAGTTTCATTTCAATATAGGGTAAGACATGACATGAGTAGGAGCATTTACTACTTTACTGAAGAAGACTAAAGGTTGCTATAAATGCTGATTTTGTTTTTAAATTTAGTGGTTTGGATTTACTATGTTTTTGGATTTTCTGAAGCATTTAAATGAAGACACATCACCATGACATCAATTAGTTAGTTAGTTAGTTAGTTAGTTAAAGCCTTGCCTGAGGATATTTTTTTCATTGATTTTTAGAGAAAGTGGAAGGGAGGGGGTGAGAGAGAGAGGCATCAATTGGTTGCCTCCCACATGCTCCCTAGTGAGGGAGGGGCACGCGAGGGAGGATGTCAAACCTGCAACCCAGGTACATGCCCTTGACCAGGAATCGAACCCATGACCTTTGGTGTGCAGGCTGATGCTCTAACCACTGACCTGACCATGAGCATTGGAAGGGATTCATTCTAAAGATTATAATTAAATATTCTGTGTTTGCATCATTTTCTACAAGCCTGAGAGTTCCCTTTTCTTCAGATAGGTGAAAATGGTGATCCCAAAGCCTTCCTCATAGAGGTTTCCTGGACAGAAACATATCCCCAGACCCCTCCCATCATATCCATGAACGCTTTCTTCAACAACACCATGTGAGTAGGGTTTTATTTTCAATGGGGTTTTTTTACACTCTTGCTTTTCTGCTAGCAATATATTTCTTGTGCATTCCAGATCCTCAGCCGTGAAGGAGAGCATATTAGCCAAGTTACAGGAGGCGGTGGAAGCCAACCTCGGCACCGCCATGACCTACACGCTGTTCGAGTACGCCAAGGACAACAAAGAGCAGTTCATGGAGAATCACCATCCCGTGAACTCTGCGGTGAGTGTGCCGTTGGTTTTTCCAGATTTTCTTATTGTTTCAATTTCACTGTTAGTAGTTAATTTGAACTAGTTTTTTAATTGGAAAGAGATTGTTGGTTTAAAGTGAATTACATCTGA